TACTTACTTTTTGAAACTTGAAAGAACGAAATGAAATCCTACACGCTTCTTGCCGTGTTCTATTTACTTAATTGTGGAATTGCCAGCTAGACAAGAAACGTTATCCGTAGACGATCATTTGATAACCGAGTATCGAAACTAATCCGTGCGTTTATAACACAATGCATCGTGAAATAATGCTTCTGAATTTTCGTTTATCCGAAGCATGTCTCTCACGTGAGTAACTTTGTCATTCGAGATCTCCTGTCCACAGATTATCTTCGCCCTCTGGGCTGGACGGCTCACTCGATGCATTGATGGGTATACCTTATGATATTTATTTTCCTATTGAATACAATTTTACAACAAACGTTCAAGAAAAAGTAGTGTCTGCATCCAGTCTGGTGTTACTTTGTGTTTTGTTGCGCNCTTTTGGTCGGCTGCTCCTCCCTTTAATGAAACGTGACCAAAATTCTCCATTCGACAAGGAAGACTTGAGATACTTTTTTAATATCATCATTCGTCATCACTGGTGAATGCCGATTTCTGTCATAATGGTTGCTATTACCAATCGAATGTCCCTTCCTTTTTTCTATTACTAGGTTGAAGTTCGTGCACCAATAAACGCTAGCTCAAAAGTTCTAGGCACACATCGTCCGCACTATTTGTGGTTCGAAGCTACTCCGCCACCGTTACCGTCCACGAATTCGTCTCCACCCACTCTATCCGAACGAAACTCCGAAGAAGCGCACACACTTTTACTGACCGTAGAACAATGGACACTACGTCATTACACGAATCGTCTTGAGTATGAGCGAGGTAAGTGTGGTGAATCGCATTCATCAGACATTTCAATTTTTCCATTATCTGTCTATCTATCTATCTATATATATATCATCAGAATCAATGCTATGATTCGATGTCTTTGTAAGTGTTTTGGATGCTACTGACCGCAAGAAACGTGACCTGATGGTCCACCAAATAGTCACCCGGTGTTGCAAACAAGGTTATGGTGACGAAAATACATTTCCTGGGTACAACTTTATGAATGAACGGAAAAAAGATCATTGGATAAGCATGCCTGACGAGCGGTACGAACCGCGAAACTGGTCGTGTGCTTCGAGGGAAATTTTGTCCAGTCATTCACATACTACTTATTATGATGTATATATATATATATGTGTGTATATAACACGTAACCGATTACTTACTTTACGGCGGATGGCTCCTGGGAGAGGATAAGCCGGCTTCATGGATATCTCGATTTGCCGTTGCCCATGCTCGGTGGTCTGTGGTAAGCTCACCACAGATTGTGATCCAGCTTGACTTCCTTTGGTGATTACCGTAGACGGTGAGCAGACAAAAGTTTTCTGTATCCTTGTGTACCGTGTCTAGCCAAGTTATCAGCTGGTCACCATATCGACAGCGCCAGTTAAGGCATAGATTCTATGCCAAACCAGTTTTGGTCGGGTCATTATCAGGCTTACAGTAAATGTAACCAAACCGTTGTTGCACTGACCTTCGCAGCCGTATGTGATTAAAAAACCGACTTTTGACCACTTCATTTACCAGCTGATCCCTCCATCGTACTCCTAGAATGATTCATGGGCACCAGTGATCGAATAATTCTAATCATCGACATTCGTTGACTTTAAGTGGCCAGATTTCACAGCCGCATAGCAAGACAAGATGAACTGATGCGGGGAAAACTCGTATTTTTGTCTTAAGCCTGATTTGATTTCTACTCCATAGGGAATTCTTCAGCTATGGAAGCGCCTTTCTTGCAGTATCGACGCACATTTGTACCCCGTCTTTAGCTTGACCGTTGGAGAGTATGGTTGAGCCCATGTATTTGAAGCTTTAGACGGATTTGATCGGCTCGCCGTTTAGTAGTAAGGCATCTTCGGGAAGAGTTGGGACGGTCATAAACGTTTTGGTTTTTGATGTGTTCACTTCTAGGCTTGTCGACTAATGCGGTCAGTGATTAACTGGAGGTTGGACATATACTTACCAAAGATGACAATATCATAAGCGAATTCTAAGTCGTTGAGACAAATTCGTCCCGATGTGCACTCTCTGATATCCCTCCATCGAACGACCATTCAAATACAATACAAATAATTTGCAAGCTTATTGGATAATTTGAGCACTAGTATAGCCATGCACGGTATGCGTTTTGCACCTCCAAAGTGTAAAATGTTGCTACAGGGCTGGTTTGGCCCAACCGAAGAAGCCCAAGAGTCCATAGACGAATTTTGCTATTTGCTACATCTCGCATAAAGAAGGCTCGGTTGGCATTTTCCAACTTGAAACATCTGTTTCACCGTCGTGACACCCAGCTGTCTGTGAAGGGTCAAGTGTATGCTGCAGTAGCTTGGCCAGTACTGCCCTACAGTGCAGAGACTTGACCATTATAAGAACAAGCTAAGGATGGACTGTCGGTGAATAAACACCTCTGTCTAGGCAGCATTACACGAATCTGGTGGCGCAACCGGACAAGCAATATTAAGGTTAGACGCAGAGTTTTAGGTAGTCGCGGTCGTTCACTGGAACAAAAGGTCGACCTCCGTAGGTTTAGTTTGGTTGGGGCACGTTTTTGGTATGTCAATCAATAGATTTACAGGACATGCGATATTTAGCGACGCCAGTTGATGGGAAAAATCAGGGGCGGTCAAGCTAAAACCCTAAGTAAGCGACGTGCTCACTAGGGCGCGTTAGGCCCCTTGGATGAGGACTTCGAGATTATAGTTAGAGACGTTGAGTGATATGACTATGTCGTAAACAATGGCCCCTGTGCATATACTCATTATCCTTCTAACCTTAGTCTTAAGGAGTTCTCCATTTTCTGTGACTATGCTGTTACCATTCCAACCTTCCTTGTACTCTTTTTTATATGGGAAACCAAAAGACAACCCAAAGCTGCGGCACAAAAATGCATGGTTAATGGTTGTAAAAACGGAACTGAACTTGCATTAGCTATATCTGGATTCCACTGATTTTTCTAATACTGTAGTAATCTCTCAAATAAACCGCTGCTGGTAGAAACCAAAAGCTGAACAAGGTTACTAATTTTTGGAACCATATTGCACCATATTTGGCACTACATGTCACTCATCCTAACAATCTGGGTTACACCTGATGCACTATGTAATTGATATCGTTTTATTATTGCGTTTAAATACAATTTTGTGTTATTTTCAGTTGTAATCTGGCTTTGATCACGAAGTACCTCGATTTGCGCACAATTATATCAGTATACACATCTTCGAACCAAATAATTTTGCCATAGTTCGGGTAGTGCATGCTTCAACTAACTCCTTTTATTTCTTCCAGGACTACATTCGGAATCTCGCGTATTCCATTTAATTTTCTTGTTACTTTTCTATGATATCCTGTTCGATGACACGATTCCGGACGTGTTCTATTCATATCGGCAAAGCGAACCTTTAGATCTATGCTCGGACGATTTCTACCCCTCACGCCGCTCTGCTATTGACGAACGTTTATCATGGATATCTCAAGCCGAACTTCCCCCGGATGACACAGTAAGATACTATCAGCTCTCGTCTACGTCCTTTTTCAATATGCACCTTACCTGCTATTATCTCTGTCAATTATATACATTCTGTGGCTAATATAAACGATCCACTGAAAGTATAGTATGTATGGGTAGACGATTGGCTTCAGATCATAGCACCATATACTCGGAAGGTTGATATCTCGCTCATGTTATATGATTTTTTTGTGTGTAGTGAGGTAACAGAAAGAATATTCAATAAACCGATGGTAACAAAAAATNCTAAACGATTGATCTCAGAATTCTTAACTTTGATGCGCTTCAATCGATTTGTTGTTCTACGCAAGACGGTATCAACTAGTTCCGTTTGAAAAACAGATGATCAGCAATTGGCTGAAGTTAAAGGACTAACGACGATAGCGCAGTAAAGGATGAGGTTTGAATTAATGCCCAGAGGCATTAGGTAGAGTAGGTGTTTCTCGCCTTCCAGGTTGGGGTTCGAAAGACTTGGCAACTGGTTAGTTGGAGATATTGAAGGATATGGCGTCGAACTGACAGCAGTGGCGTTCTTGTTGTCACTTCGTATTAGACTAGAACGCTTGAAAAAGTTTGTATAAACAGTTTGGCTGTGTAGTGTGGTTGTTGACCATGGAGGTTATCTTTCATTCTCTGTCATCCAAAATATGCCCAATCCCTAT